AGCTGGCCTGTGGAGACACTTCTGTCAATGAGCTATTGGTCTACATAGATGTCGTGTTATTTGTCACAGTTCCTTTTCTGTTGATACTTGGATCCTACAGTAAAATCATCTCCACCATCCTGAAGCTGCCATCAGCCACAAGTAGGACCAAAGCCTTCTCCACTTGCTCATCTCATCTTATGGTTGTACTGTTATTCTTTGGATCTAGTACTATTACGTACCTAAGACCCAAGAGTAGTCAATCAGAGGGAAATGACAAGGTGCTTTCACTTTTATATGCTATCTTCACCCCTATGTTTAATCCCATGATATATAGTTTAAGAAACAAAGATGTCATGATGTCATTGAGAAAATTGCTATGGAAATAAAGCACATCATTAAAGAATGAACAAAAATGTATAAAATTGATTTCTCATCATTCAATATTTTGTCTACTTTTTGATGTTTTTAAATGTCATGGAATCAATTTCAACTAATAGTGATCTTCTATAGGGTTTCCTATGAGAAGTTGGTATGTATCCATTTCTGGCCTTGTGTTTGAAGTCCAATGTTGATCATAAAGTGCCATACCAGGAGTCAATAGAATCTTTCATTATTGCAAGTTGAGGATGGAATTTTTTCCTTCAGTTTTTACAGCTTGGGAATTGCTGGATGTATTCATCCTTTTGGTATTCTAACTCTTTGCACATTTCATTATCATTCTTGACTTTGGCTTTTAGAACTACCCACTGAAATTTTCTGTTCAGCTCTTTTACCTCCTCAATCCTTCCTACTGCTTTAGCATCACTAAGGCTTAGAGCATGATTTAGTCTCTCCTGACATCCATATTGGTCTTTTCTTTCTTTCTTGTCTTCTTAATGACATTTTACTTTTTCCTGTATGATGTTCCCCACATTCTTCTGGTCTTTAATGTTTAATGGCTCATATCTTTTCTTGAGAGGCTCTCAAGAGCATTTTTTTTTTAATGTAAACACAAGGTGTTATTTATTTTTCTGAAGTACAAAGGATCTGACTCAACACAGAAACAATAAGAAAATCAATACAAATATTGAGAAAACATTTCCCCATGAGTGCAGACATATAAATTCTTAAGAGCAGCAATTGAGAGTTTACCAACAATTTAAAGTGAGTTTCTCTACAGGATGCTTTCTGACAGGCTCCTGAGCAGGAAATGGACAGGCAAGTACCTTCCACAGAGCAAAATTGCTAAGAATAGCATCCCAAGTGCACCACAAGTTACTTGACTGGGAAAACCATCTTGGAATAGTTTTTAATGTCATCATTGCTCTGTTCAACTCTCACACTTCATTAAACTTAGACAATATCCACAAACAGACCCCTAACTCTTTCTCTCTCACACTCAGGCATGTGGGAGGGCAAGGGAGTTTTGATTTGGCATGCAAACAAGTATACTGATCCACGTTAGGATTACCTAGATAGTGTGTCTATTCATGAGGAAAGTGTTCTAAGCTTTTCCTTGAGAGACGTCAAGAAGTGTGAAGAGTCCAAAATCATACCTAGAGTACTGTGAGGCAAGTTTGAAATTGCAAGTATCTCTTTTATGTCTTCATTAAAAAACCAAAAACAAAATTCAAAAATGTTAATAATCCCCTCAATTTAAGATCCACTTAATGTCAAATTTGGGTTCTCACAGACTTGTTTTCATTTTCTATAGTTCCAGCATGCACTTCATATGAGATAATTGGAGGTCTGTTCCATAGTCTGCCCCTGGTCTTGTTTTTGCTGATGCAGTAGGTTTTTTCCCCGTCTCTTCCCACACATGGAGTCAATGTGATTCCTACGTACCCCTCTGGTAAGGTCCATATGTATAATCTCATTTATGTGGTTTTAAAGAGTCATTTGCAATATATGACATATTGTTGGTGTCAAGTGCTATCGAGTCGGTTCCGACCCATAGTGACCCGGTATAGGGTTTCCAAAGAGTGACTGGTGAGCCTGAACCACTGACCTTGCAGTTCAAATGGCTTTACAGTCTGGAGCATTAACCCACAGCACCACACCAGGACTAAATTCTATCATATGGCCTACAGCATTGTTTCTTTTATTAAGGCCATATTTTCCATCTACTGATCCTCTTTGTTTCCAATCTTTGCATTCCAATCTCCAGTGATTATAAATGCATCTTAATTGCATGTTTGATCCATTTCAGACTGAAGAAGTTGGTAGAATTTTTTCATTACATCACCACTGCATTAGCTGTTGGTGCATAAAATTAAATAATAATTGTATTCACTGGTCTTCCTTGTAGGTGTTTAGACATTACCCTTTCACAGACAACATTACACTTCAAAATGGATCTTGAAGTGTTCTTTTGATTATGACTGCAACACCATCCCTTTCCACTTTGTCTTTTTCAGCATAGTAAACCATTTGATAGTCAAGATTCAATACCAGGCCAATACCAGTCAATTTCAGCTCACTAATCCCTAAGATATTAATCTTTATTTGTTCCATTTCATTTTTTTCCACTTCTAGTTTTCATAGATTCATGATTCATACATTCCATGTTTTGATTATTCATAGATGTTTATAGTTTTTCTCCTAATTTTTAATTGTGACCCATCTACAAGTGAAAATCTCGAAATCTTTGCTCCATTCATGTCATCCTGGTCAACTCTACATTGAGGAGGCAGCTCTTCCTCAGCCATATTTTGAGTGTCTTCCAACCTAAGGGACTCATCTTCCAGCATTTTATCTGACAGTATTATGGTGCTTTTCTTCATTTTTTGATATTTAATATTCTAACTGTTATCAATAGTGTTTTACTGCTATTCACAGAGTTTTCAATGGCTAACCATTCAGAAGTAATTCACCTCTCCTTCTTCCTAATATTTATTTGTTTGGGACCTCTGCTGAAATCTGACCACCATGATTATACTCTAAAGGTATTTAACATAACATGGCATAGCTTTTTTGTATCACAAAAGTACACTAGCCACCAAAATTCAACCACCTGGCAGATCAGTGGTGTGTCAAGGCATGAGGTGACACTATTAATATGAAAAATATCACCACCAATAGAATATCTATTAGTTATCATATTTTTAAAGTTCGTTGTCTGGCTCTACTTATAATAGACCAAGTGTTAGAGGAAATAAGTCATCTCAAGAATAAAAAGTCACACTTTGGGTGTCACATAGAAGACCTAAAAATTTTTACTTGTGCCCTAATAGAATATCTTGCTTCTTTTTATAGTGACAGAGTCTATATTTCTGAAAACCTACCTATAATCTTAGTGTATGAGTGATTGGATTATAACTCCAATTTAATACCCAAATCAAATGTCTAATATTTAAGTGAGGGCATTGATTGGGAATAAATGGGATTTTAAAATTTGGAATGGTGACATATAGACAAATAATGGTTTATTTAGGTAGTTCAGTAATTCATGGATTTTGTGGTAACCTACCATACAGCAACTGGAAGTACCAGACCTGCTTTAGTATTCTATAGAAGAAGGAATTAAATGACTTACAGAAATTGGCATGTTGCCTAATATATATGCTAATTTATATTAGTCTGATTTGACAGTGGAAACTACCTTAATTAAATTAAGACACCTAAATATAATGGGACTGATTAGACCTCCTGCTGGTATAGTCCAACTGGCAGCACTTCATCTACAAATAAAAGTTGGGTGTGGTTACCTTATTGGAAAGCAGAATAAAAGTAGTCATTGGAATAGTGTGGACTTATGGCATTGGCTATTTAGGCAAGGTGTCCTTTGTAATGAAAGAGATGGGAAATAATCTACTAAATATTTACTTGACCTGTTCAAAAGGAAGAACTCTAGGTCAAGTGAATGGCAGTCTAGCTTGAATTACCAAATAGAGCCACAGTCTCTCAATCAATTCCCATACTTGAGGCAGTTTACATTCCAGCAAGGCAGAACCTTACTACTGTTAGTCTTTCTCCCAACATTTCCCAAAGGGGTCTATTGGTTTTTGGCAAGGGTAATTGCTCATTGGGGAATGGGAAACAGCCAGACCTTTGAGGAATTGCTGAGCAATGACTCTGAATTTGCAGTAATTTACACTAATAACTTAAAACATCACTGTGACTCACCAGTCAGAGTGGGGGTGTATGGGTGTCAGGATATTAATGGGGTCTTAGCTAAGGTCTATGTCAGTGTGAGCCCACTGGGTCCCTGAACTCATACTATAGCGATTTCCCCAGTTACAGAATGCATAATTGGAATAGACATACTCAGAAACTGGCAGAACACCCACATTGGACATGTCACATGTGGAGTAAGGACAGTTATGGTAGGAAAAACCAAGTGGAAGCCACTAGAACTGCCTCCACCTAGAAAAAATACTAAACCAATGCAAGACCATATTCCTGGAGGAGATGCAGAAATTCATGCCACCATCAAGGACTTGTAGGATGCAGAAATGGTGATTCCCACCACATCCCCTTTAACTCAACAGTCTGGAATGTGCAAAAAAGATTGGTCAATGTTAAGGAAGTCATGTAGATTTCAAGATAAAGCAGACTGTTAAAAATGGGTAAAATTAGTTCCAGTTTGCCAGGGCCGCCAGACGGTGCGGGTGAGTGGGGGCTCCGGGATCAGGGGGGGAAAACTCGCGAGTTAAACCTCCCAGGTAGGAATTCACAGTCTCACAGCCCGCGTAAATCTTAGTGTGCCAGAGCCTTAGACCCGCTTCTTTGAGAAATCACTGTGCAAGGAATTACAGGCTTTTTAAAAGGGCGCCGCAGCACCCCCAGCTCCTTTGGGCTTAAGGGGGCGGGGCGGGAACCAGCTCGTGTGGAGCCTCCAGTGGCTGGGAGACTCAAACAGGGAGAGCCACTGGTGCACCTACCCCAAGGTGGGATTTCTGCGCATACAGTGGACAGAGGGAAGTTAGCTTAGGAGAGGAAAAGGAAAAACAAAAAAGCCTGCAGAAAAAGAGAAGCGGCCACTGTCTGACGTCATCAGGCGTGGACTGTGCCTGCCTGAGCCACTTCTGCCCTGCCCAATGACCCGTGTGTTCCTGGGGCCTGCCGGGCGCACGCGCACACAGGCGAGCAGCTCCCCTCCTGCCCGAGCCGCGTACCGCGGTCCTGCCAGATGCGCAAAAGCGAGTGACCCGCCTCCCGCTGAACTGAGCAGCATCCTTAGCCCTGCCGGGCGTGCGCCGGCAAACAGCTCACCTCACGCTCAACTGAACCATGGAGCGCGGGGGCAGGCAGCCCACCTCCTGCCGTGAGCACCCACTGGGGAACCCCATTTGGGTCTCCCTTTTATTTTTATTATCTTTTATCCTAGAAGGCTCAGCAGGAGCCCCGATGTGGCACTGAGGGCTGGGGTGCCTCTACAAGGTCACCTGAATTACAGGGTCAGGGGTCCACGCCCACCAACCGCTCCTCGGAAACCCTATAAAAGAGCATTAGAGGAGGGACGTCCTAAACAGACCCATAACAGTAGAAGAAATTGACCA